CTGTGTGTGTGTCTCTGTGTGTGTCTCTGTGTGTGTCTCTGTGTCTGCCTGTATGCATGTCTTAAACAGCCTGTGAGCTTGATCAGCTGCTCCCTATCTTTGCAGGTCAGATTATGATGACTGGAGACCAGCTCTGGCCAGTCTGCTGCAGCCAATTCCTTTTCCCAAGGAGTAAGTATCCCTATGCCCTATGGAAGTCTGCCTGAATATATATGCATGTGCGTGTGTGTGTGTGTGTGTGTGTGTGTGTGTGTGTGTGAAGTAGGGAGTCTGCTTATGAGTGTGTGTGGGAGGGGTGGAGTCTTTGTATAGGAGGAATAGTCTGTATGTAGAGGGTAAGGTCCTTCTTTTATTGTATGTGGAAGGGGTGGGGTCTGTCCCTGTGTGTGCTTATGGAGGGGTGGGGTCTGTGTGTGTGTGTGTGTGTATATGGCAGGGGTGAAGTCTAGCTCACCGTACCTGGAAGATTGTGGGAAATGTAACATGTATCTGATACCTGTGGGTGGAGGGGGTTACCCTGGGAGTACACGTGTGTCCCTGGAGCGCCCTCCCGAGGTTAAACCAGGCTGCTCTGTCTCCAGCAAGCTTTCGCTGACTGAGTATTGCCACGTCGGGGGTGAAGGCTCACCTGTGTGGGCAGGGTCATGCCAGCCCCCAGGTGGCTTTAACAAAAGTAACAACATGCTGCTTAGGTCTTGGGGGACTACATGTGAAATACCCTGAGGAAACATGTCTGTGCATGTCTGTTTCTGTGTTAAGCTCTTTGGTCTGAGCGGTTCTGCATGTGTGTCTTTAACCCTGGCTGTCCTCTTTTCCCATTCAGGGCACTCGCACACCCCAAATTCACAAAGTAAGTGTTCCTTCTTCTGCCTGATAGGTTTATTTTCTTTGATTGGGTATTATCCTCACACCACACAGCAGTCAAAGGCCTGATCCCTCTCTCCTGATTCTTGTAGGGAGCTCAAGTGTGTCATTCAGAGATTTGCTCAGGACCCGAGACAGGAGGTGACCGCATGTATCTATATGAATCTATAAAAGTGTGTCACTTGGTGTGTCTGTAGAAGTGTGTAGCTGTTTGTATCTAAATTTGTCACTTTGTATATCTGAAAGTGTGTTGCTTTCGCTGAACGTGTCGCTGTCCTGGTGCAGGTTCACTCCTGTCTGCTCGGGGTGCGTTCCGGGAAAGACGGCTGGTTCCAGCTATACAGCCCTGGTGGCGTGGCCTGCGATGATGACGGAGACCTCTTTGCCAGCATGGTGCGTGTTTGTGCGTGGGCTCGCATCCTAGCCTGTCTGCAGTTCTTCCCCTGACCGTGATTGACCCCTGACCATGACTGACCCTTGACCGTGACTGACCCCTGACCGTGACTGACCCCTGACCCTGGCCTCCACCCAGGTGCACATCCTTATGGGCTCATGTTACAAGACCAAGAAATTCCTGCTGTCTCTGGCGGACAGTAAACTGGAGTCCTGTGTCCTGCTGGCACTGAGAGGGAACAAGACCATGGTGGAGGTGTGTGCCTGCATGCATGTGTTTTTGTAATCATTACCTTGTGGGGACATTTTTTCAGTACCCACAGGGATAACATCAACTTTATAAAAATCTGTGAATGCCGTCAAAAAACTAAAATAGCCAAAAGTTTTGTATTTTGTTTGGTTACTTATGGTTAAGGTTAGGGCTGGGTAGGGGTAGTTGGGTAGTTGTCATAGTTAGAATTATGCCCATAGAAATGAATCATTATAAAGCTATAATACATAGACTGTGTTGCTGCTGGGAATCCACACACAAATCCCAACCCTCACCACACCCTGATGCCTGTCATGCTGCAGATCCTCTGCCTCATGTTGGAGTATGACATCATCGAGAATGGGGACACCCGGCGGCAGGTGGTGTCCACGGTGCAGAGCACGCAGCCAGGCCTGCACACCTACAGCAAGCTGTGCGAGCGGCAGAGGGAGCTCCGGGAGCTGGTGAGAGGCGTTCCCATGGAGACGAGCCCCGCGCTGACTCGTGAATGTGGCAGGGAGGCGTGGCCTCCGCTTTGCACTGCTCAGGCATATTCTCTGTGTTCCTTTCCGCTTTCAGCAAAGAAAAGGAGGACCGGTCCGCCTCACGCTGCCCTCAAAGACCACGGTGAGTACGGTGCGGAGCACTTAGGCGGGTGGGACAGCCCAGCTGGAGCCGTATTGAGCGCATCCCAACCCTGGATGCTGATCTTGCTCGGCTGCTCAGCTCAGGCNCCCAGGATGCTGATCTTGCTCGGCTGCTCAGCTCAGGCTCCTTTGGGAACTTGGAGAGCCTGAGTCTCGCCTTCACCAACGTCACCAGTGCCTGCGCCGAGCAGCTCATCAAACTGCCCTCCCTCAAGCAGCTGAACCTCTGGTCCACACAGGTGAGCCCCCCCCCCCCCAGTAGCCGCCACACCGCTCCTCCTCACCCCGCCACTGACACTGATGCCCCCGCACTGCCGTCTCCCCGCAGTTTGGTGATGCTGGGCTGCGCCTCCTCTCTGAGCACCTGGGCTCCCTGCAGGTGCTGAACCTGTGTGAGACTCCTGTCACTGATGCCGGCCTGCTGGCCCTCGGCTGTAAGTGTACAGCACTGACCCGGCACTGACTCACACACAGTACTCAACCAGCAGACAGTAACTGCACTCTCACACTGATAGTCTAGTGATGACTGTGGGTCTGTCTGTATTGATGACTGTGACTCAGTGGGTCTGACTGTAGTGATGACTATGGCTTGGTCACTGTCTGTAGTGATATTTATGGCTTGGTTTCTGTCTGTAATGATGACTTTGGCTTAGTGTGTCTGTCGGTAGTGATGACTGTGGCTCAGTGGGTCTGACTGTATTGTTGACTATGGCTCGGTCTCTGTCTGTAGTGATGACTATAGCTCAGTGTCTCTCTGTAGTGATGTCTATAGATCGGTCTCTCTCTGTAGTGATATTTATGTCTTGGTCTCTCTCTGTAGTGATGTTTATGTCTTGGTCTCTGTCTGTCTGTAGTAGGGATGCTCATTTCGATTAATTTTCCGAACCGACAACCGCCGTTCGTTATCCGAACATTAATCGTTAACTGATCAGATTAGAATATTAAATTAGAATTGAATGAAAATAGAACTGAGGAGTGTCTGATTAAATATGCGAACATTTTTTTTCGGTTTTATTTTAACATGTGCGAACAACAGCACACAGAACATATCAAGAACAGAATCTGGATTCACACATCGTCAAATTTTCACGCACCTGCAGCGTTTCCGACAACAGAGAAAAACAAATTAATATAAATAAAAAGAATAAAATAAATAGGCCTGCACTAAATATTTTTTACTTAAATAACAAATTAAGATTACAAAACGAAAACACGCTGAAATCCCTTTGAAGCTTTGAAGATCAGGTATAGGCAAATTTTTTCAGACATGGGCTACTAAGTTTTTTCGGTTAAAAAAAAAAAAATAAAATATAGCAGGCCTGCCTCAAACCACAAATTGTCTAGTTTTTATTTAAAAAAAGTAACATGTCGACGTGCTGTGGGGATAGTCTGGAGCGCAACCTATTGACAGTTAATCCCGCAGCAGAAAACACCCTTTCAGATGGCACAGATGTCCCAGGAATGCAGAGATAACACCGCACTAGCATGGTCAGTCTCGGGAAGCGCCGTTCATTTGCTATCCAACAATCAAGAGGATTAATATCCAAAGAGGGCGGATTGTCTCTCATATACACTCACCTAAAGGATTATTAGGAACACCATACTAATACGGTGTTTGACCCCCTTTCGCCT